CATTCATGTACGAGTGTAAGGAATATAGATAAGTGGACGGGTACAAAGTCTTATTGGCATTTCTTAGCCTTTCATAAAAATCACATTCAGTGTGCCAGAGCCTACATCCTAGATAAGTGTCTACCGATCGCAAGTCTTGCCAGGAGCAGTAGCATTTCTCAATGCAGTGCAGGTTCCCATGTAAGCTGGGTGCTTGGTGAAGTTTGCGAACCAGAGATCAGCGGAGCCGTATCCTTCGAACACACCTGGAACCCAGGAGTACTATAGAAGTGGAGTTAGTGACTGTGTACTTTCCACCGAGAACAGGAACTGCTAAAGGAAACGAGGGTGGAAGGACAAAAACTTACAGGGTCATAGAAATCCCAAACTGTGATACCGACGCATCGGTCAACTTGCATGCAAGCTCCAACGCTGGCCTTGTAATCCTCGCTCTGCTGTGCCAAGTTCTCTGGAGTCTCAGGCTCCAACAATCTAATATCTAGCTCGGTAATAGCCACATCCAGACCCAAATCCGTGAAGCTCCTCATGTTGATGATTTGATCATCCATGCTGGGCGTCTGTCCGACAATAAAATGGCTCTGCAAGCCAACGCCATCAATACGGATACCAGCCTCTTTGAGGGGCTTAACAATGTTCTCGATGGCGCCTGTGGACTTGGGGCCAGGGGATTCGATGTTGTAGTCGTTGTAGTATAGCTTGGCCTTTGGATCTGCCTTTGCTGCTGCTTCGAAAGCAATCTTGATGTATGAAGGACCGATGACATCTAGGAAGACGTCGTCACGAAGAGTACCGTCTTCGTTGAGAGCTTCGTTAACCACGTCCCAGGCGTAGCATTGGCCTGCCCAGTGAGATGCCTCCTTGGTGACATGATTAACCAGAGCAGCGGTTAAAGTCTCGTTGGTCCAGGTAGTTGAGGTAACCCATGGGGCTAGTTGGGAGTGCCAGACGAGGTTGTGGCAACGAAGGAGTTGATGGTTTCCTGTAGCCAGATCTGCAACAACTGCACCGTTGGTAAAGTTGAAAACGCCTTGCTCGGGCTCAACGTTCTCCCACTGAGAAAGTATATTAGCTTTTTGTCACCATGTGCAAAATGAAAGGACTTTCTACCTTCATGCCGTTGGCAGGTGTGAGCTGTCCGAATTCTCTTCTGTTGTGGACAAGCTTATAGTAGTCCGGGCTACAAGAAAATCCTGGGTTAGCAATCGAGCAATGGCACAAAACGAGCTAATATGCGATGTAAGGACCTCTTACTTGCTCAATTCTCCATTATCAGTGGCAGTACCGAAGTATTTCTTGCCAGCGCTCTTAGCAAAGTGGTTCAATTGAGCCGACACAAATGGCAAGGCGAGTAAAGCCGCAGCTGCGTTGTTTTGGAAACGCATTTTGTGTGAATTATGACTTAAGAAATCCTGAGGATTCCAATTGAGGAGACAGCTGGTTATTATATATGAATATACCTGGCAATTGAACTACAAGGAGAAGCAAAGCTTGACTGTCAACAAGAGCTCGGAGGAAAGAAGAAAATATATATTATACTTAGCCTCTGCAATTCATCCGTCTGGCCGGCAAGGTAGAAGCAGGAACAGGGATGTGAAGCTACCTTGTACACTTCCAGACTGGACCTTTCTGCACCCCGCTGGACCTTGCAGATGGTCAGGGCAAGCCAGCGTACGGTATGAATCTTTTCAATAGCTCCGTCTAACTGGGAGAGACCCTTGCCGAAAGAGTTCTTCCGATGCATGTTGGCTATAGTGCATTTCTGCTCTGCCTATCTTACTTCGTCTTTCATCCAGCAGTCTCATCCTTCGCCATGCATTCACTATACATTCCCAACTGACGACAGCTGTTGCAAGGACATCCAGTCCCTGCTCATGCACGCCCACAGACAAGGGCATATTAGCTGGGAATTGACTAATGATAGCAAGGGGGAGAGTTGGTGCCAATCTAATGAGCGAAGAGAGCAGTACCGGTACCAACCAACAGAGTGACCAGCACCGGATAAACAGAAACAGCGAGGCAGGATACGTCTGGCCTCTTGCCATGGACCTGGCAGTATGCTGGCCTACCTCCACTTCTTTGGAGCCAATATTCCCTAGCTGCTGGTGAGGAGCGAGGTAGATATTGCTGTGGCTTGTGGCTTCATCGTCTCTAGCTCTTGTGACAACAGGATATGGAAGATTCAGGCACAGCGGGGCATACTCCGTAAGCTGGGGCAGAGGAAGGCTGGAAGCACATCTCCGTCTAGCTCCTCAGCAGAAGGCTAAATGAAGCAAGGCCACCGATCGCAAATCAATCTGCCCTGGCATATTTCCGATCGTTTGGTAAGTTGCTGGAAGTATCAATGCTGCCAGTGCAAGTCTAGATCCCGCACCATTAGCGTCGGAGACCACGAGAGACCGCGTCAAAGAACTGCCAACAGTGGCAAAGCTTCTCTGCAGTATCCCTCAAATTTGCCGCCAGTTCACACGTACTGCGATGCCAGTAGCCAGTCTCAACTTCCGGGAGCTACACGGATAATAACAGACGGAAGAGAGGGGAAGTCGAGGATGCGGATAAAACTGCGGGCCAGCGAAACCCATGCGCCTCGTCTCCGGGGTCAATGAGCAGACTCCACTTCCCCGGTAAATCTAGAACCTCCTCCCCAGAAAGGGCAAAATGGAGGGGAATTTCAATGATCCGAGCAGCCAAAATCCCATCGTCATCCTCAATTTTTCGTCTGAATTGCTTGACATTGGAGGCGCCCGTAGCTTCTTGGCGCAAATTCAGGCTCAAATGGAACTCTACTTACCTTCCGAATTTAGGTTACTGTAGTTTCGGTTGTATTGCAGCCTAGTATGATAGAGAATGAGGGTTAAAGTGTTTTAATTCAGGAAAGCATTGGGGAATGCCCGATACTTAGGTCATACGCTTAGCCAATAGATTCCTGGATTACCGTAATGACAGATACATAATCTTTGTCGATTTTGCCGTCGAGCCAAAGTGAAAATAAATCATATATACGATATAAGTCCAATGCAAAGGGCAAGATCGGATGGGCTTACTTGAATGCTCTCAGTTTTCAAACCCAGTGGCCTATATTTCACCATTTGGTTTGAAGTACAACAAAACGGAACCAAATAACTGGGAAAATCTTAAGGTCAAGGCTATCAAGAGTTGAGCGAGTCTTGGTATCGAACTCAACAAATCATTTCTGTTATGTTTGAAATCTATCAAGTTATATGCTCTCTTCTCACAAAGGAAAGGCAATACTGCCTTCCAAGTTTCATTAGATCGCTATCTTACTTATCTTTTCAATGCCGCGCTCATCAACTTGGCTTTTCACAGCTTTTCTCTTCTCTTCCTCAAGATCTCGTCCATTTCTGTACGCTTCTCCACAACTTCATTTAATCTTCCAGCCTGTTCCCAAGCCTTAGCCAGCCTTTTATCGATATTGCCGTTCTCATCAACTCCCAACATCTTCCCCTCAACGACCAATGGCAACTCTACTTGCCCCTCCCAAGGATCCATCTTGAGTCCCTTGCAAACCTCCCTCAAGTGCGCTGCCGCCTTCCCACCTCCTCTCCCACCATAGCTAACAATAAGTGCCGGTTTCTCTTTCCATTCGTGGTAGATATGGTCTATTGCGACCTTAATGGAGGCCGGGAATGACCAGTTATATTGTGGCGTTAGGAATACGTAACCGTCATAAGAGGAGACTGCGGCTGACCAAGTATTCACCTCGGGAGTGGAGTACGGGTTTGGCGGGAGAGGATATGGAAGATCCGCTGGAAGTGTAATACCCTGAGGAGAGATTGGAAGCGGGTAATCGGCCAGGTCGAGGATCGAGATTCGTGTTGAAGCGGATGTGTGTTCTAAGAGAGCCTTGAGGAGGTAGGCCGCGATTGCAGGCCCAATGCGAGGTGTGCGTGTTGAGCATATAATTAGGGCTACATTTATGGTCCCCATTTGATGCTGATTTCTTGTGTCTCCTGTACTATTTCCCTCCTTGTAGATATAGGGTTGGAGAATATATCCCGGATTTATGCTTTAGATGAGCGCAAGAAACCCCATGTATATTCCCGTTCTAAAGCAACAAAAAGACAAATTTTTAAAGAGAATTAACTGAAAGAAGGGCCTTAGTAATTAACTAGGAGCACAAATAAGTTTATTGCTTAAAATAGCAATGTTATTGCGACATATATCGGGGTTCTGTTGCCTATTTCCGGACCCGAACAGGGCTAAACTTCAACTGCAAATATGCCCTTGTTCGGATCCGAAACTCCAGACATTATACTCACCTTTATATTGCAAATTGTGCAAATCATGGTTCAACAGCCTTTGATGAAATGTATTCAATCAGGTTGCGTACCATTTAAACCAATCAGATCGATAATTTCTCGATTTAACAACGAAACCCTTTCTGGCCTGAAGATTTATAAGAGTCTTTGACTAACTCGCAGCTAAGCTTTGCCAAGCTTCCCATGTTTCCATACATAGAGCTGCTTCACCCATATGAACTATCCAATAATTAGACCGGATGATACATAAAAGCTTTGAGCTGCACCAACTAGGGCACTCTCTACCGAGTTAAAATAACATTAATCAGCATCGTCAATCTATCTATCTCTTCAAAAGCAAGTTTTATAAAGAAGCACATGAAGGCACTTGAATTATGACATCGAAGTCAATCCGGAGTGACCTTTCCAGAAATGGACCCATCGCTGTGCACTTTTTCAACTCGCTTAGTGACTAATCTACTTCGAGGGACCATAAGACATGAAGATGATGAGGATGATGATAAAATCTATTAAGCTTAGTATAGGGTAGGTGAAACTATTATCCTATGCTCTGCTCAGTTGAACATGTAGGTTGCCGGGGAGGAGTCGAGTCGCAACGCCAGCAGAGGTTTGTGGTGAGAACTAGATTAAAATAAGAGATCAAAAGGAAAGTACTTTAAATATCTATTCCCAATACTTTTGCGTTATTGTAAATGAGCTAAAAAGAAAGATGCAAAAATATTATGATTGATGCAGGGATCGAACCTGCGACCTTTTCCGAGTTTCTAAGAAACTGTAAAGGAAACGTGATAACCACTACACTAATCAACCGGTGCAAACTAATTTCTTCGTATTCGCGTTCGAAAACACAGTGTTGGTTCATACCAGCACGTGCCTATCACGTGCATGTAAGCTAAACCTATTCCGGAGGAGAGCCGTAGCCGTAAGCTATATAACCCCTCCGGCCATACGTAGTAGAAACAACAACCATCTCCCAATATAACGCAATTAGCATACCGTAATTACAGTATTACGTCGTGCCACGCGTTATGGGAGTGTACCGACACACAGGATGCATGATATGAATGATACTTCAATGCGGAACTGATAAAAACATAGGTCTCAGACTTAGTAGGCATATTTTACGTGGGCTGGATTATTCAATGTAGCGACTACTTTTCTACAAACAATGTCAAGGATTAAACTAAGGTACCCGTAATGGTAGCTATCAATGAAATCAAATTAACCTTAATCCTGCTTACTAATACATAAGAACGATTAAGTTAAGCGTTTCAATGTAACGGTCTTGATACTAGGTTATTACCATGTAAGCTTACGAGACGAGTGGGGATCACAAAAATTCGATGACAAGATGTCAAAAATTAATATCTTATTAAGCTAGCAGTAATTCAAAATGAATACCACATTACAGATTGTGCCAAACGCAAATATTGAAGAGTATTTGCTTTTAGGAACTGGTTGATAATGGGACAAATGGCTCTGTATGTGTAGCCTGGGCCGAGCCGTTGGTTGCATAGTTCTCCGAGGCATGAACGGTGCCAGTGGAGATGTCAAGCCCATCAAGTGATCGCTCAAAGAGAACTTGAGAGGCCAATGCTATGGACAAAAGATGTTAGTACTGTACTGTGCAGTAGTAGATGCTGACAGATTAATTGGGCAAGGTGGGAAGGTCAGCTTACGTTGGAAATAAGGAACTTGATGTCCACTCTCGTAGATTCTCACAAAGCTGAAGTTACCCCGCTCTCGAACTTCACCGTATTCGGTCCCGTCAATCAAAAAAGGGGCGTATCCAGCCGCTCGGAATTCTTTTGCATGGGTGTAGTTGACTGCTAAGCTGACTGCTTCGCCTCCAAACCTGGCTCAGGGTTAGTGATTTTCAGCCCCTGTACGGATCCCATATCGAAGGGGCGAGGATTATAATGAGATACGCTGTATATCGACAAAATCTTCCCAATAGGGCAATGACTATTACTTACCAGTTACATATATAGTCCGCGTCACCATAATACAACACGATTCTAACATCTTTGTCAAGGAGCTCTTCTAGGGACTCCATGGCATTGACGTAAACAGCATCGCCGGTTTGTTGGAAACGGAGAAGTACATCGTTATTTGTAGAAGTCCAGTTCAGACTAACCCCCAGGGCATTTTGTACAGGGGCGGTATTCAGATACTGGCTGAGAGGACCGACTGGTGGCACGGCGGCATCAGATGAAACTCGGATGTCGTATGTTCCCCGACCACCATAAGAGTAATAAGGCCCTAGCATCATCAATATCAACATCTGTTCAACGGGTGAGCCACTGTACCTTGAACGTTATCTTGACACATATCTGCGGCCTCTTGGCAGATGACTTCTGTGACTAGAGAATCCGCGTACGCTTCACGCGACCCGCGGCATAGCTGGATCTGAGCTAAGCAACCACTAGCAAAATTCAATGCAAACTGCATGTAGTCGTAGACGGTCTGATTAACAGCAACAATCCCGTATGTGTTTTGAGTAGCCATCTTTGGGTATGAGAACGCTTGGGTGGCCCAGTCAATGAGACCATTGCCGATCTAATAATATCAGTAATAATCCAACGGCTACACGATAAGAGAATAGAGAGCTTACACCAAGGGTGTTGAAGTTCAACTCGACTCCTTTAGTACTTCCTTTCTTCATGGCCTGATTTTGCTCATAGAAGTAGTCGTAGAAAACTGGCCCGTCTAGTAATTATATTAGCATTATGTTTTGCTAAGGTAAATTTGTATTTGCTTACAATGTCCTCCATAAGATTCAGTCCAGAGATTAAAGGACCGTGACTTTACTTTTGAATCCAAATGTGGTAGATTGGTAAAGAGAGCCTGGATGGCGTGCCATGCAGTAACAGCGACGACTTGTGTGTTTTTCTCTGCGGTATAGTTTGCAAGAGGCCATTCTGGAAATATGATCAGTTATAACTCATAGACGCTTACATCACACTAACCTCCGTCAACAGGAGAAGGCTGATAGTCTCCCGTATAGTCGTTTATTGAACCGGGAGCTTCTGTAGAGTAAGAAAATCCAGTGCCAACGGGTTGCGAGAGGTAAAGCATGTGAGAATGATTGGACCATGAGTAGGGGTTATAAACAGGTCCTTTGTCGTCTGTAACTTTGCAGGCTCCATTTTCTGCGACTGAATTAGTAACCTGATAAGAGTGACTATAAAGTTTCATACCAATGAAAGCAGCAAGAAGCGAATCACTCCCAGGACCACCAGTGAGCCAGAGAGTGACAGGTGCGGTTGTTGGATTATGTCTAGCTTCAAGAAAGTAGAAGTAGACGTGAGTTGTAGGATCTAGGTCGATATATCCTGAATATGTCCTTACTCCAGGAGTAGTCTCACAAATTTCCGGTTCTTTATACCGGATCTGCACTCCGCCAGGAGACTTGATTGTCTTTATTCCAGTAGGCTTAGCTGGGATATGGCTGGGTTGGCTCTTGCTTTCCACAATGGGAGACAAGAGGAGCAGTGCCGCTGCTAGGTAGCTAGACGCCTTAGCAAACATGATGGGCAATGACGAGAAACAGAGCTCGAGGAATGTTGGGCGTACCGGCACTCTACTTTTATGTACAAATCCTATCGCTCGTTCGTAACTTGGAACCATAGCAACTTCCAGCCCAATTTTTCCATTCAATGACAGTGAGCCAATCCATAGTTAGCCCATAAGTCTACACCTGTCCAAAGTTATGGTAGCTTCCAACATCCTGAGAGACTGGTGATCACTTTCTCTATTCCTCCTTAGATGATACCTTGCTTAGCTGGGCTGCAACCCAGCAAAATTGGACGTAGCTCCAGAGAACGGGTGATTTTCACTGAACCAAGCAGATAGAGACACGCCTAAAGCAGGAGCTGCAGCCTTGTTCATTAACCCCCTGAGGAACGTAAGCTGACAGCAAGTGCGGGTACGAGGCCCTAGTTTACCACAAGTTGGACTGCTGGTAGCGTGTGCGGGGCCGGTAGTTGTTGGAGGCCCTTTCCGGGGAGCTATCAACCAGCAGCTAGCTGACAGTTCTAGGGTCATCCCATTCTTCCTCATCGCTAATTCTAACCTATCAACCTTTTTAGAGCAGTTGCCATTAACTAGTACAACTCTTCTACAGCAAAGAAATACGTGTGATATTATCCTTGTGGATTGTTTTTACCATCTCCAAGGACCTGAGGTTAGAAGCCTAGTACAGTGTGCGCCCTTAGGTACTGTTACATCGCCCTTGTAACTATCTTATCTGCCCCGGCAAGCTTCCCTGGTCTTTCAGCATCAGTTCCAAAAGAGGCGAGTTTGCGATCTCCAGAATAAAGGGGTGACCAACCACGCCAATCTCATTTCCGGGCCCGTGTTGACGTGAGATTTGGATAATACTTTGACCAACCTTATGCAGGGCTAAAGTTGGCGAGCACCCAACGCCTGGCTTGTCCCGCATCTCGTATTTCAACCTTCCATAATGCGTAGCCAGAGATGCCATGGATATTGAGAAGCCTGCGACCTATTTGGCTGCCCGTCACCTTGTTTTCAGCTCTGGAAGACTAGCATAGGCTCCATCGATAACCTATCGTTAACTGCCGTCCTATAAAAAGTTTATGGCACACAACTTAGAGCTCGCACCGGATGCGATGTCTATTGCACTAATGGATACATGAAGCCAAAAAGGTACATACTATTGATCATCGGGAACATTTCAATAGAGCTTACTCATCCTTAGTTATCAACCTATGGTCTCTGCCTACAGAATCGTAAGCAACTAAAAATATGTCTAACACAACCAGGTTGAAAAATATGGAGCCTCTAGAATCAGAGTACCAAGGAGGTTCCCTTTTAAATATTGTGACACAAGTCAATAGTTACCGAGTGAGCTCCCATATCCCTTCTGATGTCCTGTAACAACCATTCCATCGGGGTTGCATATGTAATTTCATTAGAGCGTGTAACAGGTACATCTCCCACTCTATTTGCACTGTGCAACATAGCCACGACTCTACCATGTATATCGAAAACGAGTGATCCAGAATCTCCGCCGCTTGAGAAAGGCTTTGTTCCAGGAAGGTTAATAATGCAGAGTTCGGTCGTGATCAATGATCCTCTTCGACAATCCGAGCGTATTTGATTTAAGGATCCTCCAATCCATCCACTTGTTCGCCCATGCTTAAGTACCCTCATGCCCATCATGTCCATATGGCCTTCGGATCCAGTTCTCTTCAACGCCTGTTCTATTTCAACAGATGTAACGACCTTTGTTATCTCTTCGTAAGTGAAATCGGAGCTTATGGTGTGTCCACCAGTAGTTATGATTGTTCTGTCTCTTAGGCTAACCTCGAAAGTTGGGGGGTTGAAATTCTAGGTTAGCTCTTTTCTGTATTAGTTAAAACACTGAATGCATATAAATACTCACAAGGTTCCACGGCTCCCTGCTATTAAATCGGTTCTTGTCCAACGATATAAGTGCCCAGTCTCTTATAGATCCACTTCTGTCATCTTGAGATATACCTGATACCCGAGCAACCTTGCCAAAAAAGGGGACAAAAGTTTCCATTCTGCAAAGGCTCTCTGTGAGATCTCGTAAAAGTGTACGATCGGCCTCGACCGCTCGTTTACGGCCTTCGCTCCATGGACGGTCGAGAATGAGACTCTTCTGCTCTGCTTCATCGTGAGATTGGCATATAACTCGTGTGGCTCCTATCTCTGCTTTTATCTCTTGTATATTTCTATTCAAGTCGGCTGTAGAAGGTTGGTCAACTAGTATCTCAGAGGTGACTACCATATCGTCGTCCGCCTTAACGCAGTGATGACAG